TTTTGCTCCACCCGGCTGCCGCGATCGGGTTGTTGGGACATGTGCGGGTGTGGCTGCCCGTGCGGTTGTTGCCACGTGTGGGGCTGTTGTTGCGTGTGCGGGTGTTGCCTTCAGGTTGTTGTGACGTGGCTCGTTAGCGTGCGCGAGGTTGTTGCTACGTGTGGGGCTGTTGCTTGCAGGTTGTTGCTACCTGGCCGGCTGTTGCATTCATGTTGTCACTACACCTGGAGTTGTCACTGCCTGTGGGGCTGTTGCTCCCAGGTTGTTGCTACACGTGCGGTTGTTGCTACACGGACAGCTGTTGCTCCCAGGTTGTTGTTACCCATGCGGTTGTTGCTTCGTGTGGGGCTGTTGCTCCCAGGTTGTTGCTCCACATGCAGTTCTTGCTGCCTGGCTGGTTGTTGCTTTTGGGTTGTCACTACACCTGGAGTTGTTACTACCTGTGGGGCTGTTGCTCCGAGGCTGTTGCTCCATGTGCAGTTGTTGCTGCCTGGGCAGTTGTTGCTTTCGGGGTGTCACTACACCTGGAGTTGTTACTACCTATGGGACTGTTGCTTTCAGGTTGTTGCTACTTGTGTGACTGTTGCTCCCAGGTTGTTGCTCCATGTTAGGTTGTTGCTTCGTGTGGGGCTGTTGCTCCCAGGTTGTTGCTCCATGTGTGGTTGTTGCTGCCTGGGCAGTTATTGCTTTCAGGCTGTCACTACACCTGGAGTTGTCACTACCTGTGGGGCTGTTGCTCCCAGCTTGTTGCTCCACGTGCAGTTGTTGCTACCTGTGGGGCTGTTGCTCCCAGGTTGTTGCTACCTGGGTGGTTGTTACCTTCAGGTTGTCGGATGTGGCTGGTTGTTGGCGTGTGGCACGGTTGTTGCTGTGTGTGTGACTGTTGCTTCCAGGTTATCGTGACGTGGCTTATTGTTAGCGTGCGTGCGGTTGTTACTACCCGTGGGACTGTTGCTTCCAGGTTGTTCTACCTGGGTGGTTGTTGCTGTGTGTGTGGCTGTTGTTGCTTTCAGGTTGTTGCTACCTGTGCGGTTGTTGCTTCATGTGGGGCGGTTGCTCCCAGGTTGTTGCTCCACGTGTGGGGCGGTTGCTCCCAGGTTGTTGCTACCTGTACGGCTGTTGCTTTCAGGTTGTCACTACACCTGCAGTAGTTACTACCTGTGGGGCTGTTGCTCCCAGGTTGTTGCTCCATGCGCAGTTGTTGCTGCCTGTGCGGTTGTTGCTTTCAAGTTGTTGCTATCCGTGAAGTTGTTGCTTCGTGTGGGGCTGTTGCTTTCAGGTTGTTGGTACCTGGCTGGTTGTTGCTTTCAGGTTGTCACTACAGCTGGAGTTGTCACTACCTGTGTGGCTGTTGCTTTCAGGCTGTTACTACCTCTGCGGTTGTTGCTTGCAGGTTGTTGCGATGTGGCTGGTTGTTGGCATCTGCATGGTTGTTGCTACATATGGGACTGTTGCTTCCAGGTTGTTGCCACCTGGCCAGTTGTTGCTTTCGGGTTGTCACTACACCTGGAGTTGTCACTACCTGTGGGGCTGTTGCTTTCAGGTTGTTACTACCTGGGTGGTTGTTGCCTACAGGTTGTTGTGGCGTGGCTGGTTGTTGCTACCCGTGTGGTTGTTGCTTCGTGTGGGGCTGTTGCTTCCAGGTTGTTGCTACACGTGCAGTTGTTACTACCTGTGGGGCTGTTGCTTTCAGGTTGTTGCTACACGTGCAGTTGTTACTACCTGTGGGGCTGTTGCTTTCAGGTTGTTGCTACCTGGGCGGTTGTTGCTTTCAGGTTGTCACTACACCTGGAGTTGTCACTACGTGTGGGGCTGTTGCTTTTGGGTTGTTGCTACCTGGGCGGTTGTTGCTTTCAGGTTGTTACTACACGTGTAGTTGTCACTACCTGTGGGGCTGTTGCTTTTGGGTTGTTGCTACCTGGGCGGTTGTTGCTTTCAGGTTGTCACTACCCCTGGAGTTGTCACTACCTGTGGGGCTGTTGCTTTTGGGTTGTTGCTACCTGGGCGGTTGTTGCTTTCAGGTTGTTACTACACGTGTAGTTGTCACTACCTGTGGGGCTGTTGCTTTCGGGTTGTTGCT